CCCCCCCCCCCACACACACACCAGAGGGAGCCCTGCCAGGTGTGTGGCCAGGACATGCCGCCACCCCTCCCAGCCTCCTGATCCAGAGTCTGGCTTCTTCAGGAGGAAGGGCAGAGGAGCTGAGCTCTGCCTTGATTAAAGCACTTTTTACTCACTAAGATGATGAAGTCGTATTTGTCCAGCCACTAGACACTGGGACCCCTGCGAGTCCACCTCCCTGAGCAGTGCACCCATGTGGTTTGGTGCTGGTGGTGTTGGGGGAGCCTTGATGAATGGGGGCCTCACTTCCTATTTTGAAGTATTTTACCAGCATTTTTCAGGTTCATGTTAATACCTGTCTTTTGAAATAAAGCTTTAAGGAAAAAAAATAATTTTCTGTGCCCTGCAGATCTGCAAGTTTAGACATTTTTGGTGATGGTGATTGTGCCCCACTGCCTTGGGGATCTGATGGGCCTTGTCCAGGGTTGGTCCCTTTAGGGAGGGCAGGCTGGCCTTTGTCACAAGTTCATGGAAGTATGTGTGACCTGGTCATTTGGGAAGGGATGGCAAGATGCCCTTGGCTTTGCCTTCATGGGACCTCTTAGAAAGTCTCCTTAAGAAGAGTGCTTTCTTCCCCCACAGAGTAACTTTGACTTGTGCTTACTTTTACTGCTCACTTCACTTGGATGAGCGCTTCTGGGTCTCCGGTGCTGTGAGCGCTGGGCTAACTGCTGCAGGTCATGGGGTAAGAAGGGTTCTTTGGAGAACACAGTCCATATTGATGAAAAAAGTGCAGCATAAGGCCTAGAAAAGTCAGATGTGAGCAGCAGCCTTGGCAGCGCTTGACCCGGCACCTGCCCACCTGTGTTCCAGGTCTCACCAATGGCTTTGGGGGTGCCAGGACCGAGCAGGAGCCAGGCAGTGGCCTGGGGAGGAGAGCTGCACCCCGACGGCGCTGTGCATCCGAGTCTAGCATCTCTTCCAGCAACAGCCCGCTCTGTGACTCGAGGTGGGCACTGGCCTCATCTCCACTCTTGTGTCTCCCCAGCACTTGCCTGCCTTTAGTTCCCATCTTAAGACCCCTTGAGAGAGGCTGGCCTGGGGTCCATGTGTGTTTTCTGCCCTGTAAAGATGAGTTCCCATGAGATATATCGATCTGCTTCTTAAAACTTAATCAGAAGTGGAAAATAAAACTACATAAAAGATTAGCACCATTTTAGAATCTATAGTTAGAGTTATACTTTGTCTTCTTCTCTCCAAATCTTGCCTTTAGCAAGATGGGGTCAGCATAGCCCAGCAGCCTGTCTGCCCCACGGAGGCCACTTTGGCAGCTGGAACAGCCCTCACAGTGACAGGCTCGTCCTCCTCTAGCCCCACCAGCAGGCCAGTCCTAGGGTTGTTAGGCTCCATCTTTGCAGCCTAGCCTGGTGATTGGCAGCTTCGCCATGCAGCCTGGTTTGGGGGAAGCAGTGGGTAGGGCCTTCTGTGCTTTGGGTCTTAGTCCTGGACTGAACTCTGCTTTTCCTCCTCAAGTTTTAGCACACCCAAGTGCGGGCGAGGCAAGCCTGCCCTTGTGCGCAGACACACACTGGAGGATAGGAGTGAGCTGATATCCTGCATTGAAAACGGGAACTATGCCAAGGCGGCCAGGATTGCAGCTGGTGAGTTGTGTGTGTGGCCTCTGGTGAGCGTTTCTGGGGTGGAGACTGCAGACTGTCCCAGGGACCACTGTGCCATGAGCCGAGACCACTTCCCCTTATGAGGGACTCTTGTGCTGGGCTCCCAGGACTACCCTGGACCTCATCAAGCAGGCTCTAGAAGGCTCCAGATCATCCCAGCTCATGTGTTTGTTGGGTTCGCCAGCCATTTGCAGCTGAACGGGTCACAGTGGGGTGGATGGGGGCTGGGCTGGCCTGACTGGTTAGTCCTGAGGACAGAAGTGCCCTCTGTGGCTTGGGGCTGAGGATCTGGTGGCTAGGTCTCCTGTGAAGCAGCTGCATGCTGTGAGGGTATCAGGGCGGAGACCTGAAGTGGGGAGGGCAGGGACAGCAGGGAGGCTGGTGTGGGGCAACAGGTGATCAGGCCATGTGGGCTGCGGCAGGGTGCCATGGGGACTGGGAGAGGCTGATGAATGAGAATGTACTGACATGAGGAGGGCCTGGGGCTAGTGTGGGCTCTTGGAGGTGGTGGGTTCTGGGAATGTGGGGGACGGGTCCTAGGAACAGGTGGTAGTTTTATTGCAAGTGGCCAGAATTATGATTTTGAGTTTGAGGTTTCAGTTTTGAAAGATGCATCTGTATCAAGCCAGGGGCCTGCCCTTGGAGAGAGGGTCTCAGGAAGTGGGGTGTTGGGGACCTGGCATTATAGGTGTTATAGGCCTTGGAGCTGTGGATGGCATGGGATTTTCCGGGTCATAGGGAGGCACGTGGACCATGGGCAGGCTGTATGGGGAGTTGGGGGGTACATGGGTCCCTGACTTCCATAGGAGGGGCAGTGGGATGGCTCTCTCTCCCTCAGACCCAGGGATAGTGTTCATTTGACTGCCGTCCTGCTTGAGAGGCCAGGAGCGTGCTTGGGAGTCCGCCGCCCTTAGACTGTGTGGCTGTGCTGGGCCCTAGGAGCACTGCGGCTCTCCTGGGTCACTCACTGCTGGGGCTTCCTTCTTTCCCAGAAGTGGGGCAGAACAGCATGTGGATTTCCACTGACGCCGCAGCCTCCGTTCTGGAGCCCCTGAAAGTGGTGTGGGCCAAGTGCAGCGGCTACCCCTCCTACCCGGCGTTGGTGAGTCGGGCGCTGTGGGCGGGGCCTGCTCTGCTGGGGCCTGGGACCCAGTGCATGGCCTGTGCCTTGCTTTGTGGCGCCTGCCTGTGCTGCTGGCAGTGTGTGGCCGTCATGGCGGGAGGCAGGTGTGTGAGTGGCTGCTGGGGGTGTGCCGGGCGTGCAGCTCTGGATGTGAGCTCTTAGAGTGACTGGAGTGTGCCCTTGGCAGATCATCGACCCCAAGATGCCTCGAGTGCCTGGCCACCACAACGGTGTCACCATCCCTGCCCCACCCTTGGACGTGCTGAAGATTGGAGAGCACATGCAGACCAAGTCCGATGAGAAGCTGTTCCTCGTTCTGTTCTTTGACAATAAGAGAAGCTGGTGAGTGTCAGCAGCCAGGGCTCTGCAGGACAGGACGGGGCTGGGGATTGCTTCCTGCTCAGTGCGCTGGACCCTGCCATGCTGTGTGGGGCCGAAGTGCCACAGAGTGCTGGCTGCCTTGGGTCCTTGCACTTCCAGTGTGCATGGTGGGGTCTGAGAAGGGCATTGTCTAGTGACCCCACAGGGACTGTGGGGAGGACCATCAAGCACTGATCTCTCTACCAACAGCCTCCTCTTCTTCTTGAGTCCTGGCCAGCTTGAACTCTGTTTCTTCTTTTCCTTTTGGTGTCTACAGTGGTGTTCCAGGGGCCCCCGCAGTGGGTCTCGTACTCTGTCCTCTGTCAAGACGCAGGTCCCCTCTACCTAGAGCTCTGTGCATGCGTCATCTGGCTCTTCCATTCCCCAGCTCTGCTTGGAGGCCTAGAGCACCTCGCACCCACCGTGTGCCATGGTTCAGAATCCAGAACCCCCTCTGAGGACGGGGCACACCACACCAACTGTCCTGACCATTTGTGTCATCAAGAGGAGCATCCAGTTGGGTGTGGGCTTTCCCTGTCTGGCCACAAGGAGATGTTTCACTCCACTCCAGGGAGCCAGCCACTCTGGGGCACACATCTGCACCCTGTGCCATCTTCTCTGCCTTGCCTACCTGCTTCTGCTGGCTGCTTGGCTGCTGTTCCTTATCACACCTGGAGGGAGGCTCCCGTGGCCTGGCTCATCCAAGGACCTCTGTCGTAGGTTCTTGCTACTCCTATCCTAGGGCATCCCCTTGTTCTAGGGCTCACCTGGCCTGTGTTGAATGTGTGTGTGCCTGTCCTCAGGGAGGAGATTTGGAGGAGATGACTGACTGGTTCTCAGAGAGGGACAGGGAAAGTGGGGATGCACTGTGCACGTTACCTGCTCTGCTCCTGGAGGAGTCTGGTCCACACCAGCCAGCCTCAGCTGGGCTTTGCCAGGCTCCTAGTCCACAAGGGCTGGTGGTTAGCGGTTACAGAATGTGCATATGGGTCTTAGTTTCCCTACTTTTTCTTTAAAAAGGCAGTGGCTTCCTAAGTCCAAGATGGTTCCTCTTGGTGTTGACGAGACCATCGACAAGTTAAAGATGATGGAAGGGCGGAACTCCAGTATCCGGAAGGCTGTGCGAATTGCTTTTGACCGGGCCATGAACCACCTGAGCCGTGTGCATGGGGAGCCGGCCAGCGACCTTAGCGACATTGACTGAGGCAGCTCCTGCAGAAGGCTGCCCAGGCCGTCGCCAGCCGTGAGCCTTGTCCATAGTGTTCATAAGCTGTATATGTTTGTATATTGTTCAAAACTTAACTTATTCTGATTTCGTAGTCATAGTTCTTTTAATTCTTTTTCCCAGGGGCGGGGGGAGGTTTTGTTTCGGAGTTTTCTATGAAACCATCTCGTCTTGGCGCGTGGTGGGTGGGGTGCACCCGGTGTGGGCAAGATGCTCTGGTGGTGCCGCGTGCCTCACTTGCTTCCATCTGTATGTAGCTTTTTTTTTTTTTTTTTTAAAGACTTTTGAATGTTTAATAATTTTGTAAATCATGCTCTTTACACAGAGTACCACTTATTTAATAAGACGGGGATGTAAATTTACAATGACAAATGTGTATTTTAAGAAAGAAAATGACATTATTTTGAATGGTACTTTGTGCAAAGAGATGGAGAATAAATTTATGCTGTGTGCATCACTTGCAAATCACCAAAAACACTCCCGCCAGCGTGACGCTGGGCGGGGCCCTCCTTCTCATCGTCCTGTCTGCCCTGAGTCTCCTCTGGTCCGCCCCGACTCCTACAGGCGTGCCTCCCAGCGGATTATTTATTGTAGAAAGTGTATTCAGTTGCTTTATAATGAAAAATAAATTTGCAAAAGTATATTGATATGCATTTTTATACAGGCACATAAAAATTCAACTTGGTTTGGGAGCAGAATGTGTTGCGTGATTATATAAATGACTCTGGCCTGTGTGTACTTTGATTTTGTAACTTGTAATCTTTTGTTTACAATGAGGGGCTTTCTGTAACTTGTTTTAATTTAGAACACTTTGGTAGCAATAGAACTTTGGATACATTTTTGTATGGTACATGTGATGTATATAGAATTAGTACTTTATTTTTATTTTTAAGAGGTAAAGCATTATGTTAGGGGGGGAAGTAGGGTGGGTTTCCAAATTTGCATTTTTTATATTAAAAATAAAGTCAAGATTTGGATGGTGTGGGCCTTTCATTCCTATATCATCAGGAGGCCGGGCACACGAGTGGCCTGAAGGACAGGGTGCTGGGGGATGTGGACAGATGCAGAGCAGGGCCAGGCCAGGCAGACGACATGCCTTGATCTTAAACATTGCCCTGGGATGGCATTATTTATTATTTTGCCTAATCATATTTTTATTTTAAAGCTATAGTTACTTAAAAAATTTTAAGTGTTCTTCTTTTAAGTCTACATTGTTTGTAATATTTCCATAGAAACTTGAAATAAAAAGTCTTCCTTTTGATAGTTTTTGTCTAGTATTTGGCAGATGCCTCCTGTTTGCTGTGGGCACACTCTGTGGCCCTTGTGGCAGGCTGCCCCCGACTGCCAAGGTTGATGTACACCAGGCCTGGCCAGGCCGGAGTGGTCCCAGGACCACGTTGGAGAGGTGTATTGGCCTGGGGTTGGTTTCAGGGATCAGAGGAAGGAGGAGGGGGCAAGAATCCTGGTGGCACAGGGTCTGTGGGTCAGTAGGGACCCGAGCAGCGCAGAGCTCTGGGGGTGCCGCTGGGATCTGCTTGAGGCAGGGTGTCATTTACTGGCTTTGTTTCCTAACACACCCCGCAAATCCTGATGTGCCGAGCCGAGAAATCTGCTCGAGTCAGGCTCTTGTTTCTGGGATAGCTTTAGTTGGTTTTTGACCTCTGGTGCATCTGTCTGGGTTAGCCTATGTGGGGGAGAGGGGAATTGGGGCAGGGGTGTTTGGGCAGCAGGAGGGTAGGTTGGCCCTGTGCCTCTGGTGTGCTAAGGTCACCTGGGTAGCTGGCTTTAAGTTGCAGTCTGGATACTGGCCTGTGTTAATGCCCTTGACCCTGGGATCCTACATAGCCATGCCTTAGAACCCCTACTTGGGTGCTATTCAGGAGGCTTCCAGAGTCTGCCTGGTCTCTCCAGCCGTCACCACCTGTCCCAGCCCCGTTGCCCAGAACCCTACCTTGCTCCCGCTGTGGTGTAGGGCCAGCTTGACTCCATCTGTCCAGGTCTGTCTGCTGTCTGGTGTCAGCACTGCACTTGAATGGGGGGGGCTGACCACCCGGCCTGATGCTAGACAAGGCCTGGGTCCTTGACGTGGCACCTTGAGATGCTGGACCCCGTCAGGAATGGGAGCTTGGCTGTTCAGGGCTGAGGGTGTTTGGTGTTTCTTGGGGACCTCCTGGAACCCCTAGGGGTGGGTGTAGAGGGCCCCTGAGGCCCCTTCCTATGTGGGCACCTCCCTGAAGGTGGCTGGGCTAGGGTCCTATCACCAGCTCTCTGGAGGTGACCCTGGCAGTCTTCCGAGGCCCACTCTGTGGGATTTCCCTCTGAGCCTCATTGTGACCCCCCCCCCCCCCCACCACCACCCACCTATCCCTGTCCCTGGCTAGTACTGTTTGAGCCTATCTGGGTGCTGCACCTGGCCCATGGCTTGGGTTCCTGTGCAACCCTGGGTCGAGTTGGACTCTCCTCTTGGGGCTGGGGCCAACATGGACCAGTGTACTGCATGTGGATACCCCAGGTCTGATACCACCTGGTGACCTCCTGTGGAGCACCTAGGTACTCCCTTTTGTCCTGCTTGGTTGTTCCTCGGTAGGCACCCCTACCCCCCACCCCTGGCCCCCTCATAATGCACATCAGGCTTGTGTCCCTTCACATTGGGGGCCAGCCTCGCTCTCCACAGGAGCCACCCTGGAGGAGGCCTATTAGTGGGAGTTCCTAGGCAAGGATCTAGTGACCACTAGAGACTTTGTGGATGCCAGTGTCTGCTTATGTCAGTGTTGGAGTCCTGCCCTGAGTGCCCCTGGCCAGACATTCTGGGACCTGGGTGGCCCCGATGGGGTGGGCTTTGGGAATGTAGGGACAGCTGTGGGTGTGGCAGAGCCCCAGGCTAACCCTGCCCATCCTCCTCCCTCCTCCCAGCTGAGGAAGGGTGGGCCTGCAGCTGAGCTTCTGGACACCTCAAGGTCCCTCCTGACCCCGACCCCGACCCCATGGCATCAAGCACCATGGCCAGGGAAACTTCCAGATACTGGAGCAGCTTTCTCTGGTCTCAGCTGTTGGGCTCATGGGGTGCATTCTCTTTGCAGATGCCCAGAGGTGGAAACAGATCCGGAAGGCCAGGAGCCCCATGGGGCACTGGCTTCCCAGGATGCACCCACCCCAGGGTATGGTTGTTGGGGTGGATACCTGTATTAGCTCCTGGCCCCGAATGGGCAACACTGAGTGGGAATGAGCATCTGTTCTCTCTCTCATACTGAGGAACCAGGTGTGGGGCTCAGAAGTTGTGGCTGGGGGTGGTCCCCTGCCTGGCGGCCCCCTCAGGCATTTTCTTGCACCATAAACACTGACCCCAGTGATGTTCCTGGCTCATGTCATATCCACCCCTGCCTGGCTGTGGGGCTGGGCTCCTCCCAGCTGGCCTTCAGCTCAGCAGGAAAAGCCAATGGTGGGTTTTGCATCAATCCAAGGAGCTGATTTCTGGCCTCTAAGTGGATGGTTTCATGAATCAATAATGTTCATAAAAAGTCCATACTTCAGTATTTTAATTTCTAACCCACTGAGGGTATTGAGCAACTGGTGAGAATGCATCTCAGTGAGTGGATGCCAGCGTCTGCATCTGTGCACTGTGTCCTGCGGCTGTGGTGGCTGGCTTGGGGACTGCGCCCAGAGACCAGCTGCTGTGCCCATCTTCCTGCACTGCTCTGGAATAGTGACCTTCTCCATGTGGTCTTTCTCCAAGGTTCCTGTAGGCAGGAGTGTCCTCGGCAGTGTTAGGAGTTCTCCTGGGCTCAGGATGAACACTGTTTTGCACATGAATTGGTGTGGGATCTGCTGGTTGCAGCCTGTTACCAGCCAGCATCTTTGGAGATACGGCAGATTTGCTGCAGTTTACACATGGCAGGTGCTTCAGCCTTCTCCCTGACCCGTACTTGGGCAGTCTGGGGGCTTTGCTGCCTTTGTGAGGATGGTTTAGAACTCGATGGGGCTGTTAGAGCTGAGGTTCCTTGGGTGGAGTGCCCCGTGGTGGGGGGGCAGGTGGGGACACTGGCAGATCTGTGGGGCTATGGATTGTGGCTGACACCCCCACCCTACTTACAGCGCACTGTGCCACACAGTAGGCACCTGGCTCCCGGCCCAGGTATGCCCACCTGCACTGTGCACAGGTAGACAGGTCCTGGGAGGGGACTGCATAGCCCCTGGAGGTGGGCTTTAACCATTTGAGCAGGAGCTCTGAAGTGCAGGGTGCTGGGGGCACTGCAAAAGGGGAGGCAGAGATGGCCAGGACAAGGCCATCTACAGCTCTGGCCTGGTTTGGGTTTCCTTTCCTGGGTTTAAGGGTGTCCTTCCTGGGGTGCAGGCATGGTCCCTCGTTGGGGGAGTTAACAGGGGTGCCGCATGGGGAAGACATGGGCAGGTGTAGCCTGAGGAATGGTGATGGCCCGGGGAGAGTCCTCTGGGTGAGGGTATGGAGGAATCCTGGGGGCCTGGGGGAGTGTGGTGAAATGGCCAGAGTGGACAGGTTGGACATTAGCACAATGTGGGGATGTGGAATGAAGACGGGCAGAGGGCAGGTGACAGATGTTGCTGGGGGAACAGAAGAGGCAGGAAATGAGAGTGGCTGGTGACCTTGGCCAGGGGCTCCCTGGAGTGGTAAGGGTGTCGAGGATTGCCCTTCAGTGGGTATTGGTCCCTGGGGGAGCAGACTTCTCCTTCACAGGAGGCTTGCCTATGGGGTCCAACACTGCAGGGGGCAGTATTGGAGACGGGGCCTACACCTGCTCAGGCCACTCTGTCTGGTTCCCTGTCCCCACCTTTATCTGGGTGTTGTCAGGTGTTTTCATGTGTGACTTCACATGTGACTCGAGTGGCCGGGTTCGTGTTCCTCCACTCCAGACCTGGTTCCATCATGTGGTAACTGTCTTTCATGTTGCGAGGATTCCCAGGTGAGTTCCAGAGTAGGCTGATTTTCCGTCACCTGAAACTTACATGAGATTTCAATTTCTTTACATTTTCCTTTTTTCTGTATTTATTGAGGCAGTCATGTGGTTTTGTCCTTTATTATGGTGGTGTGTGTTACATCAATTCAATTTTGGAGCTAAAGCAACCTTGCATTCCCGGGATAAATGTTTTTTGGTCATGGGCACAACTCCTTCTTGTAGACTGCTGAATTCTGTGTGCTGGTGTCTTGTTGGGGGTACTTGGGTCTGTCCTTGAGGGTCTGTGGCATGCGTGTTCCTTGTGATGTCTTTATCTGGCTTTGGTGTCAGGCTAATACTGAACTCATAAGATGGATTGGGAAGTGTATTTTCTTTTATTTTGGGAAGTTTTGAAGGGTCACTGTCATTCTCATTCAAGTGTTTGATTGTGCAGCCGGATCTTTTCTGCCTGGGGATTTTTTAAAATTACTGTCAGTCTCTTTACTTGCTGTAGGTCTATGCGTCCTTTCCACTTCTTGAGTCAGTTTTGTTAGTGATAGTTTGTCCTTTTCATCTAGACGGTCTCATTTTTTCATTGGTATACAGTTGTTCCTAGTATTCGCTCGCTCGCTCTCGCTCTCTCTCTCTCTCTCTCTGGATGCTGGGGATTGAACCAGAGGCACTTTATCACTGAGTTTTATCCCCAGTCCTTTTTGTATTTTATTTTGAGAAAGGGTCTTGCTAAATTGTGAGGTTGGCCCTGAACTCGATCCTCCTGCTTCAGCCTCTGTAGTTGCTGGGATCACAGATGTCATAGTGTTCTCTTACAAAAACTTTTTATTTCTGTTGACGTTTGTAGTGAAATCTCATTTTTCATTCTTTTTTTTTAAATATTTATTTTTTAGTTGTAGATAGAATAACTAATTTATTTTTACATGGTGCTGAGGATTGAACCCAGCCTTGCACGTGCTAGGTGAGTGTTCTAAGTTCAGTTATTTGAGAGTCCCTCCCTGTGATTGTAGCTGAAGTTTGAGTGTTTGTCAGTTTTGTGATTTTCTGAGAGCGAGTTTTGTGGTTTTCTTCTTTGTTGTTGTTCAGTTCTCTTTTTCACTTATTTTGACTCTGAGCTTCATCATTCATGTTTGGCTCTCAACAAGACAGGCTACTCCCTGTGGCTCTTTGTTTCTGTGAAATGTGCAGGGGCTAGGGGGCAGTTGTAGTCTGGAGGGTGAGGAGGACCTGCTATCCTAGGCCTGGGCAGCCAGGCATGAGCCGGGCCTTGTCCACCCTGACAGCCAGGGAGGGCTGCCTGGAAGAGGGGATCCACTCAACAAGCTCAGCACAGAGGGGCCT